AAGTGGGCAAATAAATCTTTATTCAATCTGTCTTTTCAGTTTGATGTTTAGTGTCATGTTTATGTACAGGAGTTATTTATGGATTAGAGACTGATACTAATAGATGTGTGATATATGCACCAAGCCACAAACTATAAATCCTCAGGTCACAGTCTGAGCACACTAACTACTTGGCCATGCCCAGTCCTGAAGTAATCAGTCATAGAACATCAACTCTGACACTATCATAGCTGGGATGTCAACCTCAGCATGTCTAAACTCTCAATATATATATAAATTCATACCTACAAAGTGTTAACTCTTTCTCAAGTTCAAGTTCAGATGATACTACATCCAGTTGATATCATGAGCTAAATTAAGCCTCAAGTGTTACTTTTTATCTTCGCCTTGTGAGATTGCTCTGCAGCCGATCAGCTACAATAAAAAGTGAATTGTAAACACAGTTATGGCATTTTCACACAGATGCATTTCTAATGCTAACATTGGTGGGAAGTTTGAGAAGAGGTGAGTATCTATTGGAAGCATAATGTTAGAAAATGTTAACTTCCTGTACGATACATAATGTCTGCTTACACACAGCTAAAATTACACATTGGAGTGGTGGAAGGACTGGTGCAAAATTTACCTAGATGAGCCTCCTTTGGGAAGTACTTAATGGAAACCCATGGAGTGTGGCACCATATACCATGGAACAGTATAGGGGCACACCCATGGATGACTGCACATCGTATGTAACAGTGTACACTCTTTATCTGTAAAAAAGTGAAGTCTCAGTAGGATGGGTGGAAAGCACAAGCACAGTCAAAAACTTGCATCATGTATTTGTATTATAGCTAGAGCATATCAGACCGTACATGGTGGGTCAACTTCAGTTCAAAAACAGGCGAAATTAGGAAATTGGCTTCAAGGCCACAGAAGGAGGAGTCTTATCATCTTCATCTTAGGTTCAGTGAGACAGAACAAGAATTTATCATCCAAACTGCAACTGAGTGAAGACTTAGGTTGGCTAATCCTGTGCTAATTCAACACCAGACCACATGGGAACCCAACATCCAGACAGCAGTAGTATGGGGGAAAGGCAGTTGGAGATTGAAAAATCCTACATTGACAAAACACCACCATCATGCTCTCTACTGAGTGTAATTGGTCATACCCAGGAGGTAGCCTCCATGGTACACCACACCAGCAACTAATAACTGGTAATTGGTATCATGAATCATGCAGTGTTCACTGCAAAAGATACATGTGAGCACGTTCAAAGAAATAAGGGGTGCTATGGAAATGTAAGTTCCCCAAAAAGAGAGCGCCTCCCATGTAGGAAGAGAAGGGGAGGAGAAACCTGTGAAATCGAAACTCACCATGGCCTACCCACAAAGTGGAGAAGTCTGAGCTCCTCAGAGATTGGAAATAAAGAACACACAGAAGTATACCAGATACTGAGTGAATATGAGATGGGACCTCTCCAGCCTGATTCATCAACCAAAACGAGCCACATTCTGAAGAAGGAGAATAATATGTTCAAAGGAGTCCTAGTGGAGTGGAGTGAAATCCTGGAGGAGGATGAGAAACTCATTCGATAGCATCCTTGGCCAACGTGTCTGAAACTGCCACTGAAAGATGTCAGCAAGAAACTGGATCTTGTGTAAAAGGAACATAAAACGATGGAAGAAGGGAAGAAAAACGTAGAGCATGACCATCTGATAAAACCTGTAGTGTGCAACAGTTAACCTAGATCAGCAAATGGGTCCCTACTGGCTCTGAGCCCATGGGATAGTCACTGACGAGATTGTCGACGCCAAAAAATTCACAGAGGATAGATGGATAGAAGCAGACAAATGGAAGGAAGGGACAGAGAGTATAGAAGATGTAAAAGGATGGGAGAATATAATAGGAAAAGAATGAGCTATGGAGAAATATGAGACAAAGGAAGACAAGAAAGAATGTTGATGCATGGGTTTAACACATGACTTTAGAGAATAAGTTCCTTCAAAAATAACTTGTCAGAAGAGAGGAGCCAGACAAAGATCCCTGAGATAAGAGGGAGGCAAATATATGAGCAAGAAAAGTGTCACTCCTTAACAAATCAACCAAGTTAGAAGGAACAAGGCCAAGAAAGAAGAATGTGCTAATGTATAAAATATAAGGGAATGAGTATCTATCTAAATCCCCACAGGAGTGCAGTGGATTGCTTTAAAAAAGAAGAGGAAGAAAGAAAACATAATAAAACAGGGTAGTAAGGGGTAAACAAACAGGTGAAGTTTGGACCTGAGAAAGTTGAACAGAAGATAGAAAATCTGATCTTAAGCCTAAAGAAGTGGCTCCAGAGTATGGAAGTCCAAGAAAGGGAATGCCACCCAATGTTAAGCCAAGGCATATTTGGCAACCAGATAGGAAAGATGAGGCATGCCTGCACTATAGTGATGTTGAGATGAAAAATTGTTGAATATGAACTTGAGTATCTAAATAGGTAGGAAAAACATAAAAGGTAGAAGCAGGGGACGAATTAAGAAGGGAAGGAGAAGAATCATACAAAACAGGAAAGAGAAGGTAACAAATCCGAGAAACCATATCTCAAAGTTACGAAAAAAAGACCAGGTAGATCCACGACAGAATTGGTAGAAAATTTGGCAAGGTAGGAGGCGGAAAAAAAAGACTGCCAAAATCACCTTTGTCACGAATGGAATTCATAGGATGAGGTATATCGGGTTTAGAAGAAGGTCAGGCAGCATGAAAGACTTTATCTCCTGTCACACAGTAGCCATCACTTCCTTAACAGAGAAAAAGAAACCTGACGCCATATTAGCTAGTTGTCTAACGTGAACAATGTCTTGTTGTCTCACACCAGAAAAAGTGGAAGTTACTGTCACCTGTGAATTCATAATGTCGAAATAAAAGGCTACAAAATCTACAGGTGCAAAAATGTTTGAAAACTAAAATCCAAATTTAATATTTCCATAACATTTAGTATTTTTGTAGACACTTCCCTAATAAATGCCAATATCACAAAAGCCTACCAGCGAAAAAAAAGATGTCTTTACACATACCAGTGCCAAATTACAAAGCGATCATTGATTATTTAGTATAGAGGGAGTCGACTGCTTGGGTGGGTCGCACTTCTATTGGTGGAAGGTTGTCACATGCTTATTTGCATGCAACAACACAGCAAGATCTTGTGGAAACATGCAAGTTTAGGTAAAATCCTCCAAGCTAGTGAAAAAGTTTGTATATAGAAGACAGCACTATAAAGCTATAGGTGAGAGAGATTACAAGTGTATCGAACCAACGATCTGACTGCCGATTCTATGTGTATTATCTTCAGTTACCTAAAAGTACAGCTTGGTTACAAATTCATGTATTTAATATATTCATTTAGTTTATTTATCTTAAACTCCATTATATCCCAAAGTGTCCACCACTGGTAATCAACCTCTAATCATCAGTTAATAAATTTTATTTTCATTTCAACTTCACAGTGTATTTTTTTTCTCTTCCGTTCCACCTTCAATAAATCAATACAACTGTCCTTCCACACACTAGGCTTCGAATCTCCAGTTATTGTTAAGATCAGGTAACTGTGTTTTAGGTTTTTCCTTGGAATACCACAGACGCTTCTAGGAACTGATTTTGTAGGATGCATGTATAGACAGTTGACATTAGATGTAACTATGGTATATAAATCCTCAGACTAGTAACTTTGGTTGTGTATGAATGCCTACAGGTATTATCAAAAGTACATTTTAAAACATTAGATATTGGAGGAACGTCTGCAAGCGGATGATATCAAATATTGTGTACAAATCAGTATTTAACGCTTCTCTTCCTGGTTTAATTGTGTGCAGACAGATTTTAAGAAACTTGTATGCACTGATGTTGAATAAGGCTGAAATGATTGAAAAAATAATAAAAAAGATTGGTAATCTAAAGACTAATTTTTCATGGGTGTCTGTGGACTAAAAACATGAACATGTACCAACACCCAGATGTTTGATGTGAAACTGCTAAAAGTTATATATATATATTTAAATTGAGACATTTATATTAATGCTGGTTAGAGGAAATTTTGACATCACATGACAAATAAGTAACTTAACATCTGGAATTTTCAAGAAAGATTAGGAAATTATAAGAATAATATAAAATATATTGTTACGTCTCCGTTTGTTAATTGATTTTCCGTAACTTCGTTCCGACGAAACTTTAGCGACACAAGTCCTTACTTAATAAAACTGGTTTATTCTTTCCGAATACAACTTTACCGATACACTTATTTTCAACAGTCGCGCTATAACAACGATCATGCTCAATTTCAACAATACTATCTGACTGCAGTTCAATTACTCACTACCTACACATTGTCACGTCACGCCGTGACCATCTTATATATACCAGCCCACCTCAAATCTAGCAAATGCTAGAGCACTCCCGAAGGAACAGGATACTTCTAGAAACGTGGCGTGACACTAGTCACGTGACCTCGCTGACGCAACAATATGTTAGGCAAGATTAGATGAGATCACTAGTTGATCAGTGTCTTTTATAATAGTGAATTGATTATTTAGTCAGTCAGCTAATTTAATGTTGTAAAAAAAAGTGTTTCCAACAAAAGTATTAGTGATACAAGTATGAGAAAATTAGCAAGTAAGTGGAATTTATACTGAAATGTTACTTATTTGTGAATTAAGACTTTGTCCAGTTGAATACATAAAATGCTTTTATCATTAAGTGGACTGGAGTTTGCATTCTTATTTTTACCACATAATTCCAAAGAACCCACTCCACAGGATAAACCATTACAAAACTATTGTTTGTCAACATACTATGACCTAGAAATTGAACAAGTGCCTACATATTGGTGTTTGATTCAAGTGTACTTAATAAAGTTAAACGTAAGTTTTCACATTGGTGTCTAATGAATGTCTCATTCTGGTTAGTGAATTTACATGATTAATGGTGATGAATAAAGTTATTGTTTGGGAAGAAGTGTTTGTATACTACAAAACTGCCAGATGAGAGCTTCATAAACAACAGAAGCAGATAATTTTATTTTCTGAATAAAACTATTGGCAACATTGACAAACTTCACATACACTGTCAAACATTCCAGGTATTTCTATTTCTAAGCCACCACATATTTTCACGATGCAAAATATTTCACAACAACAAGATTAACATGAAAATTTATGAATATCATACCTAATCACTTTCCTTGGTCGTAAGCACCATGACAAACCATTGCTGTTTTAATATTAGGGAGCAGTCATTATTTATCGGGGAAGGGCAAGACTTCTGTGCATGCAAGTCAAAAGGGGAGGTCACTTTTCCGTGCATGGTGAGAGAAAAAATAAATAAAAATAAAAACACGGAGAAAAATACAACTGTACATCATTTTCCATGTGATGAATACCAAACATGGTAAGGAACATATGTAGCAAAAGATAGGATTTCATACTCAACCAGACTCTTTAATTTAACTCTTGACATAAGAAAGCTCCTGATGATTATTTGTAATTTCATTTCAAGTAGTATGCATAAAGGAAAAACAGTTTAACCAAAATATGCCTGCAATTAAATGCTCAGTATTAAACTAAAAGTTTTCAAATACAGAACTCAGTTTTTATGACAAACTTAATTCAGATTACAAAGTCAAACCTATGTGGAGATTCATCCTTAAACATAATTTTCTAAAAAGATTGCATTGGTCTTCAAATACACCTCAGAAATGTCCAGTGCATGTCAAAAACATATTTGATTGTAATAAAACAACTTATAATTATCAATCAGAAACAAAACATACAAATAATTTTGGCCTGAAAAAACTGATAACAGTTTGAGTATGACTTAATTATTTTACTAATTTTGAAAAACAGAATATTTATTTTAGGAAATAGATTACACTGGGATGTAACCATAGGAAAAATGGATAAGGTGCATCATATAAACAGATAGTTTTAAAGTTTACCACATTTGGAAGTGTTAATATACCTCTGTACTAGTTTTGTAAGCAGGATAGGTGTTCATCAAGAACCTATTGTTTATGTCTAAGAAATGATCAGTAATTTCAGTTGTAATTATAAACCCTACAGTTGGCATGTTGGATATAATTTTAAAAATATGGTCAATTAATGTTGTGATGTGTGTGGCCAATAGCCATAATTATAGATGTATTCTGTGAAATAGGACTATAAGTGCTGGGGCTGGAAATTCATTTTTTCACATCCACTATCATGCTAGATATTTTTTGTCACTAAGGTAATTCATTATATCAATTACAAATATGCTTTAAGGCATTTATATAGTGTTATCAGTATCAAACACAACCATGTAGGCAGAATGACCACTATGAAATACATCTTATCCAAATTAATTGTGTATGCTTCAATATATAATTGTCAGTTACTCCATTTTGAGATAGAGGGGTGAAGGGAGTACCTTTCTTTGCACAGAACAAAAGGGTGGGTTACATTTCTGTGTAGAGAAATGGGGGGGGGTACACTTTTTTGTGCAGTCAGTTTTTGAACTTCCCTTTAGCCCACCCTCCAGATAAAAAATGACTGCTCTCTCTTAGATAATTAGCATTTACTAAAAGACTAAAGGCACAATATATATCATGCACCATAAGTTCTCATGCCTGGGTATATGGCAAGAGATGAGCAAAGAATAAAAATTGTGAAGACACGTTCTTCATCCTCTTTTAGCTAGTCTTTCAGTCAAGGCAACAAAGCAGTACCAGCTAAGCATAACTGCTGTCTTCTATGATATATGTTTTTTTTTCAACTATCATCTCATGGAAGTCAGATCTAACCTTATACACTCACAATTACTAAAGCAATACTTAATATATTCTAAATACATGAAATGACATCAATATTAAAACCACTATAACTGTTTAACTTTAAGCTGAATCAAATCACTAGTTAAGTAACTGTAAATTATATAAAAGAAAAAATAGTATATTTTTATCAAAATTTTAAACCAATAATTAGTGAGTTGCCATTTCTATCACTTTCTCAAAATACTGCAAAAACAATAATAAGTCTTTTATTGGACAATCCTAAGTGTTAATACAGAAAACCAACAGCATTTTCAGTAATAAAATTATATGGTCCTTTTTTTTTTTATTAGTTCATTTTGAAAATTATAACAACCTGCAAAGATGAAATTTTGATACAAGGTTCAATGCATTAAGTTCCAAGGTTTTAGATGGAAAAAGAAGTTTGGCAGAGCAAATAGCTGTTAGAAAATACAGGTAAAATTAGGTAGTGAGCAATCAGAGTCTAGTGCAATTGGGCAACTGGAAGAAATGAGGCATTTTCTATAACAGTAAACTAAAGTAATTGAGAATATTTTGATACTTTTCTGTCAGCTATTATTCTGGTAATTGTAAATTAATTGTACAGTGTCTTCTGTGTAAAAGCTTGATGAGGCACTTAACTCCTTTATTAAAACTTAAGACATGAAATGTTAATCAACAAAATCTTGGTACATGAAAGATGAAAATAATTATACTTTCACAGAGTTAAAGAACAAATGGTGGATGGATGGAGTCATTTTCCCCTGTAAATCTTAATAGTAGTTGTACATTTATTAGTAACATTAAACTATATAAAGGTAATAAGACTACCCCAACTCTTCAATGTGTCATGTTGGTATGTTTTTACTGATTAAGTACTGGCAGTCAAAAAGCACTTTGTACTGAACTAAATATATCCAAGGGGGTCTGGTTCTTACAATTTCTTTTCTGAGTTTTCAGACAGGTAAACTAATTTTTAGCAGCAGTACTGAAAGCAAGTGTGTATGGACAGGAACTACTTGTAGACATCATTTTGGTTTCTATTGAAAAGAGTTCTACTAATTGCCCAGTGCATATAAATATAATGCAAAGATGCTGCAGGGCTACTACACATGGAAAAACTTGCTATTACATATACAATGACACAAATGTCACATTTCAAACACAGCAAAACATTGGAAAATGTGCACAGATCAAAATTCAAAAACCAGTATTTAACAAATTTTTAGGCACAGAAATTAATAACTTGGAGAACCCACTGTTTCATAAAATTTTAACCAAATCATAGTTCCTATGCAAGACCATGGTACAGAGCCCAGAAAAATAAAACTATCTACTACAACCATGCCTGAATCACCTTCTTAGAAGTCCTATCTTCTTATAATACTCTGACCAGAAAAAAGTCTCAATGAGGATGACAACCAAAACATTGTCCAAAAACTGACCTTAGTTAGTTCCTGCCCATACAAGCCTGCTTGAGACATTTACACTACCTAAACTTTCACTGAAAGAAGTATAGAAAGAGGTTCACAAGTTATCCAATGAGTAAAAATAATTTTACACAAGGAATAACATAAACATTTAGTAAATTTGGACATTAAACTGTAAACAATGATTTTAAGTCATGCATTTCACTATGTAATTTAACTTCATGAAATACACCATATATTCTAATGAAATAATCTACAGACTAAAGATAAACATAATTGATTTGTTTATAATCTAGATATAGCACCATTAGATATACTATAGAAATCAGAGTGAAATATAATAAATTCTTCATAGATCAAATATTTAACATTATTACATGCCAAAGAAATAAGATTTTACAACATAACTTACATTATAGAGTCAAGACTTAACATGATGAAAGATAAAACCTAAAATCATGAAGGAATGAAGTCTGTAATAAAGCACAGAATGTAACATCACAAAATATAACAAAAAATGAAAATGAGGCACTACAAAGATAAATACAAAATCAAAACTTAACATATAAAATGTAACAAAGACTGAAGGTTTTATTATCATGAAAAAAAAGAAAAAAGAGTACCAAGAGTTAAGAGCATAGGTTCAAAAATGTTAAAAATACACACATACAGAATCAAGAATTAACAGTAAAAAATACATTCAAGAATAGGGTCTAACATCAAGGGATAAATTATAAAATCAAAAATAATATTACAAAATATAGTAAGAGCAAATATCTGGCATAGTAAAAAACATCATAAATAAACTACAACAAAAATGTATCTTAATAAATTACACTGAAGAAAGATGTGATGATATCTAAGAATCACTGTTAATAACACGGTGGAACATATTTAAAACTGAATGCTCGAAATCATGACTATACAAAAGAACTAAGATTTAACTTTATAAAATTCACATATACTACTTTGTAGAGTTGAAGCTTGATAATATATACTTCACTGTAGAAAAAATGTTTTAATAACTTGACCTACACTACTTTAGGTTTTAGAAATGTCAATTTCAGATTTGAATTAATAAAACATATCATTTAATCAAGATTAAACAAATATGTACTACACTGTTGTGTCATCATTAAATAACACGAAGTACGGTGTATAGCCAACATTTGAATTAATAAAATACACTTTTAATCAAGGTTTAACAACACAAACTGCACCATATAGATGAGATTCAATAATGATCTGCAGTTTAATATCAAGATTTTAACTAATAAAATATAATGTCACTTAAGATTTAATAATATGAACAACACTACAATATCAAGGTTTGACAATGTACATTACATTATTTAGTAATGATTTAATAATTTACAACAATGAAAAGTCAAGGTTTGAATGAACAAGATACACCATAGTCAACATTTGATAAAATTAACTACACTGTGAGCCACATTATCAAGTAATGATTTAATAACATACTACAACGAACAGTCAAAGTCTGAATCAATGAGATATACCATGGAGTTATGGTTTGATAACATGAACTACACTGTAGAGTCAAGGTTTAACAATGTGAATTACACTGTTGACTCCTAATAAAATAATCTGATGTAGTATGACCAACAACAAGGATCAGAGTTTAAAAATGTGAACTAAACTGCTAAATCCAGGCTAACATGAAATGTACTTTACAGTGTAAAAGTTTGAACTAGTAAACTAATTTGCTGTATCAAAGTTCGTTAACATGAACAACATTGATAAGTGAAGGTTTACCACCATTTGCTAATAAAATCAAAGTTCCTTAACAAGAACTACACTGTATGGTGTTTCATGCAAGTTTTATTTCTTGAACTATAATGGTGAATTGATGCTGATATCTTAAAAAGTATTGTAGATTCATGTCATAAATATGTATAAATTCAAATGTTTATACTTTCTACACATTTCAGGAACACAAGTTAATGAAATGAGCTGAATGAAATTAAAATTTGATGCTTTAAAGCAAATGACAGAGAAAGAAACACAGTAAATAAATTGAATCAGGTCTTGGCTAGCTACACATTTATAAAAATCTTTTGTTTCACATTTATAAGTCAGCAAGTTTCTGTTCAAAAACTTTAGGCTTTTCTATGTAAACATTGAAACAATATTGTTACTTATTGAGATAAATATAATCAGACATTTATCTAGCTGTTTCAAGTAAACTTACCAGCTTCTACATAACAGTGGTAACTGAAAAGTTAATGACCTCGTTTGACAGATAAAGTATTAAATGTTTAACTTTTACCAGTAGTTAGGGAAAAGTCTAGAAGATATCATGTGAAGAAGAATTAATTAATATATCTTAAAGAAGGCTAATAAAGCTGAAATGTAACTCTGTGACATATAACAGAGTAATGCTTACATGACACTGCATAAATGCATTAAAAACTTCAGTCTCTGATTTGAACTATAACAAATATTAATTCTAAGTAAAAGTTTTCTGGCTCTCATCATCAACATAAACATAATCTTCAAGTATCTGCAGAATTGAGAATTACAAAAATATGAATATTTTGTAGCTGTTAGTTCTATAACCAATTTGATATTTTTGTTCAAATGCACTAAATGTGATATCTGAAATTCATAAGTTACTGACTTTTTTAATTACACAATAACTACGATTTATCTTAACAAACACTGAAAGTAAGTGATGGTGGAACTTGATACTATGATGCTGTTTAGAAATCAGAGGCTGTGAATAATGTTTATGGTTATTTTTTTAAAGTTTTGAATTTACTTACTGAGGTAGATCTGACAACATAAAAAGTGCAGACCAGGTTGTGGATTTGGAATGGTTTTTGTTGTGTTAAATATATGATAAAAGTGCATTTTTAATCACAACTAATATGTATGAAAATACAAACAAAATAAAAATCCTGGGTAAGGTGAAATCAACATGTATAGGAAAACTGACTATTCAACATGAAAGTAAAAAAAAAACAATTATTATTTAACAAGATTACACCTGTAGTTTTTGAAGAGTCAGTGCTCTGATAATGTAGAATTGAAAACTAAACACAGGAACAAATTGTACACAGTATAAAAGACAAGTTTTTCATGAACTTGTCCAATCAGAGGAACTTCACCACTTTTTTTTATCAAAAGAAAATAAAAAATTTGGATGCAATTTCTTTGAACATGTTTTAATCAGTTATTTACTTCTATCCACTAGGTAAACAAAATGGTAGACAATAATACTTGCTTAAAAAAAAAAAGTAGAATTTACTCCTAATCTCAAAGTAAACAGAAAGTATTAACAGAAATGTTGTGGATAAACACTGATCATATATCCACAGCTTTGATGCAGATAAACACAGTAGTGGATGAAAACTCCATGAATGATCACATGTGAAAAATCCACTGCTACCTTTTTTGATAAGCAAAATAGAGGATGAATTTTCTTCAAACAAACAATGATAACAAATTTAGAGATACATAGTAGCCTCTAGTTATAAAAAATGATGGATGAGCATCCCAGGAACAAAAATTAGTCTGAATGGATAAAATTCAAGAGAAAAAAAACATTGAAAAGAAACATACTGTTACTCTTTAAGTAAACAGAAGAGAAGACGAAAAGCTTGCCAATAAATATTCACAGGATATATATATCTACTACTTTTAATCTCTAGATAAACAGAGTGGATGATGAAAATCCTGTGAATGAATATTAACAAGACATATCCTGCTTCTAACCTCTAGATAAACAGAGTAGACGATAAAAATCGTGTGAATGAATATTTAAAAGATGTATACTGCTAAATTTTTAATAAAGTGAGTAAAATTGAAAGTTCTGTGAATAACTATTGACGATACATATACTGCTAACCTTCAGATAAATAGAGTAGATGATGAAAATCCTGTGAATGATTATTGACAAGATGTATACTGCTAACCTTTTAATGAACAGAGTAAAGCTGAAAATCCTGTGAATGATTATTGATAAGATGTATACTGCTAACCTTTTAATGAACAGAGTAAAGCTGAAAATCCTGTGAATGATTATTGACAAGATGTATACTGCTCACCTTTTAATGAACAGAGTAAAGTTGAAAATCCTGTGTGACTATTGACAAGATGTATACTGTTAATCTTTCATTAAACAGAGTAGAAGATCAAAATCCTGTAAATGATTATTGACAAGACATATACTGCTAGTCTCCTGACAAACAGAGTAAACAATGAAAATATTCTGAATGACTACTAACAAGGTGTGTTCTGTTAACCTCCAGATACACAGAGTAGATGATGAAAATCCTGTTAATGGCTACTCACAGGACATATACTGTTAAGCTTTTGATAAAAAGAGCAGAAGATGAAAATCCTGTGAATGAATACTGACAAGATGTACACTTCTAGCCTATATTTAAATGAAACAAGATAAAACTCTTGTGAATTACTAGAAAAACAAAGCAGTGGATGAAACTCTTGTAACTGAACATCGATAACAAATATAAATATATCGCTATCCTCTATCTAAACAGAGTAGTGGAAAAAACTGCTGTAAAATACCATTGATGAAAGGTACTTTGTTAGTTACATCAAGTGATGAGCTAACTATATAAAAAAAAACCTTACCTTATATAATTTTAATTTCTCTTCCATTACATGTTTATTAAATGGTTTTACTGTTTTGAGCAGTATCCTCTTATATACTTAAGTAATTCTCACTTCATACACCTTACAATAATGACTTCAGTTCCTAGCTTAAATATTCTTACAACAGAGAAGTATGGTATCAGCAAAGTAATATGATCACTTGAATTTAGTTCTAAAAAATAATCAAAATTTACAAGCACCACCAACTACTTTACAGGGCAGAGTTAAAACACCAAGTAACTAAGTTCCTCACAACTGACAAAAAAATTGGTAGGAATATCCATGATTTCCATAGCCAAAGACTGTAGTTATCAATAACTTACACTTTCTTGTTTCAGTACTGTTTATCAAAAAAACTTTCAACTTCTAAAACATCAATACATTCAACTAAATTAAGAATTTTTCAAAGTGGAATCATTTTTTGGATATATAAGAAACAGCCATCGAAATGAAACCACAACCTTCATAAAAAAAAAAAATTAAAAAGACCAAAAATACAAAAAAGTGTCAAAGAAAATAAAAGGGAAACTTAGAACTTAAACACTGGATCTAATAATAATATCTACTCAACGTATTAAATGGTAGTTAGGTTTTTAACCACTTTAACTGCTGTTCATATCCTACACGAGTTCATTCAAAAGAAGATAAAGATTCATATAAAATGACTTAACAAAATTGAAACAATGTTTGATTTTTTGAGTGGAACTATTGCTATACAGTTTATGAAATAAATAAAAGAAAACTGATGTATTCACTTTGAACACATTGACAGATGTTTGTCTATCAGTTGTTTCTAGCAATTTAAAAAGGTGGATTAAATAAATGTTTCAGAAAAAAAAAGTCATCACTAGTAAAGTACATTTGTTTAAGAGGATTTTTATAAACTTAGCAAGAAGGCAATTTAACCAATCCGTCCCAAACAAATAAAAGCTATGTGCAACATCTTCAGCAATCACTAAGAGCCTTAGAGGCTACTCAGTTGAACACAAAGTATTTTATATGTGAACACATGTTAAACATAACCTTGAACTTTTTTTCTTTTTATATATTCACACAGAAATGACATCAGGCTTTTCAGACAATAAAAATATTTTAAAAGTCAAAGAATATTCTATTGCTTTAATATCTTTGCAGACAAATGTCAATTTAAGCTAAACAGATTTAGTTTGGATACTCATCTGTTTACATAGAGTACAAACCTGAAGCTTAGTTTCTTTATGAACCAACTTATGTGTTTTTGTCTCTTTCGACAGGAAACTTAACATTCTATTTCACATAATTAAATATGATGTTATTTCATTTTCTATCTACAACAGAAAAACAACAACCTTGTATATGTTGTCAACTTTTGTTTCAAGTAGAATTTATACTAATTCATTTTTAGAGTCATGATATCATGACTATTTCATTCCCAAATAAATCATACCATGACAATCTCACCCCAAATAAGTGTTCCAAAATAAGTCATAATATCATAATTACTTTGTCCTAATGAATTTGTAAATAACAATGCTTTGACTACTTCCCAAATAAATCAATACATAACACTCTATCTCTGAGATAATAATATTATGACTATTTCACTCACAAATCAATACTGTCTTAACTACTTCATTTTCAAATAAATTATGTCAAGATTATTTTATCTGAAACAGACATCAAGACTATTTTACTCCCATGTAAATCACAGTATTATGACCATTTCCCTCAAAATCAAATCATATCATGACTACTTCACCCCATATAATTCATATTACCATGACCACTCCACTCCTAAGGAAATCATATTGTCACATCTGACTCAATCCTACAAAGCTTGAAAAAAACAATATCACTTTACTTTGATGGATATCAATACACTATCTACATTAATCTTACACAAATTATAAAATTCAGTTTTCTTTTCTCCAATACCTTATTACTCCACAGGTTATTAAGGTGCCAGTTTTATTTTTAATTGAAGAAGGATGAAAACACATTCTCTACCTTAACCTCATGTATGTAAAAAAAACACCGTACTTCTATATTGATATGAATAAACCATGGAAAAAACATTTTATTTTATTCCAAGGTATCTATATATCTATCTCAATTTCACCATATATTACTTTCTTTTTCTACTTTATTCTAGTCTAAAACATCATTTATCCACTTCTTAATTAATTTAATTACAAAATACTGTAACTTAAACTAATCAATCAAGTATATCAAACTATTTCCAACCATATTTATCCTGTAAAACAGGTTAAACATCCCTCAAAAACTAAATCTGACCCAAACCCCTACTGCTATGCAAGGGCGTCTACAGAAAGTAATCCAGAGAGGGGCAAAGTAGTGTGAGATTGTGAATTGAATAAAAAAAATCATATACATACAATGAATGAATAAAGAAATAGAGAGAGAATTATGTTTCACATTTTCCAGGGGGATGCCCATGTACAATCTTAATCTTCTTCTGTGTACAATTTCAACCAAACTTTTACCACTACTTACAATCTTAATCAAACTTTTATTGCTATATACAATCTTAGCCAAACCTCTACCACTATGTACAATCATAACCAAACCTCTTCCAAGATGCAGACTCAACCAAAATTTTTTATCTCCTTCAGTCTCAATGACACTTATTCCCAACGTAAAGCTTTAACCAAATCTGTTTTTTAAATACAATTTCCAAACATTAAACATAAGTGAAAGTTTTTTCCAACATATATACAATCCTCAACTGAAAATCTACATAAAACATTTTAAAAACATTCTCAAAATACAGCATCAACTTAATTTCTTCCTACCATACTATTTAACCAAACTCCTGCAATATTAACTGAATTTCTTCCAACACAATATTTAAACAACATTTTCTCACATACAACCTTTTCCCAACATACACCCTCATTCAAATCTCTTTCTAACATAGCCTTAACGAGATAAATTTATCCAAAATGTTTTTCAAAAAATACAGACTGAACCAACCTTTCTCAACATAAAATTTCATCTATAGATCTGTATGACTAATTAATTAATCCTCCATTATTCATCAATATGTTTTTGAAGGTTTTGATTAAACAAACAACATAAAATTCTATGCAACTTATATATGGTGATATAGTTTTAATTTTTCTTTGTAATGATAGACCATGAAGCACAAGAGATTAGCTGAAGGCTCTTTGCTATGATGAAAAGATGATGTGTAACATTATCAAATCAACTGAGGTAATATGTTGAAGATGTTGTTAAAATAAAATATGCTGAGTTGGGAGTTCTGAGTCGGGAGTTACTCTGATGGTATTTTCTGCTACACAACTGGAGGATTTTGTAAAATGGTATGATTCATGAACAAGTTTTATGGTAATCATTACATTTGAAATTTGGCTGACAATATTACTTGTTGCGATCAGACCTGTGGCTTAATCACAGATAGATTTGAATAAAAATATTAGATGTCTACTACATACCAATATGTGCAGAGGTTGTCCAAGTACCTCCACTTTTTTATTTTCACAAATCTACACAATGATTTCTCAAATTTGCACTTATGTAGGTTCACTTTTTCTTCAAAACATCTATACAATTACTTCTTAAAACTGAACCTACATGTTTAACTCCAACTTCATTCATAACATCCACATAAGAGTGCCTTAAATTTGAGTTTAACAGTTTTGTCCAATTTCCCTCATAACACTTATATACTAATTTCTCAAATTTTGTTTCACTGAAATGTCATCTTTCTCAGTCATACAAATATGACAACAATTCTAAAAGTATAAAGTATTTCACACATACTAAATCTCATCCAAAAGGACACACAAAAACTGATAATGATATGCAACAGTCAAAACTTTCCCAAAAATAAATCTATCTTAACCAAATTGATGTTAACACTTTACAAAATGTGTATTCAGGCACACATGCTCTTCAGGTCTTCCTGAGCTCCTAAGTTGGCTATGGTCTTTTTGATACGTAAAGCTGTCAGCCGTGCAGCAGGATTCTGATACCAACATTCTTTCATAATCCTGGACACAACCCGCAAGGCCTAATAAAAAAGAAGCACAAGTGACTGTAGATTCTTAGACTTAAAAATTTATGTTGACAGACAGAAGAAACAAATGAACCTGATAACATTCTCAAGATCAGAAAATTGTATGTAATTTTAGCCACTCAGAGACATCAAAAACTATTAGATCAAGCTATATGGTTTACATATTTAAAAACAGCTGACATAAAAATTGATACTTCTATGTAATTATATGTGTTTAATATTAAATAATATGTCATTCAATCAAGTGTTAATTTTAAACTATATTTTCATTGGTTCATGCAGAAAGAAAGTCAAGTTAAATCAGTCATGTCATATAAACCATCCAAACTTTAAGACTTATATACACAGAAATAAAAAGAAGAATCTTACAGAAAAAAGAAAGTTATCTAATATAGATGATAACTAACAAAATGAACAATGAGACTGATTGGCAGATAGCAGCCTTCACTTTGCTTACAGTAGTTTAATCCTAATCAAAATAAAGTCCAGGACTCTGTTATATGGTGCAAAAAATATGCAAGACATGTCAAGGACAAGTTTAATTTAAATCCAGCAAAACCATCAGAACCACATAACCCTCACACAACCTATAGATAAACTTATAAATAATGAAGTAATATATAAAATACCTTGCAGTTGTGAAAACAAATACATAAAAAAACAAAAATACACTATTTAATTAACAAATCCAACACTTCTGCCAAGTTAAAGAATGTGCCACTGACATGGTACATAAAATAGTCTGTGGCAAATGTATTGTTACCCAGATAATGATCACGATCGATTCACAGTTTGGATTTCGCTGAGTAAAGAAGTGTTTTCTCGCCTGTCCGCATATTAGAGTTTTTTCTCTGTGTTCAAAAAGTCCTTATTAGGACTAGGTGTCTAATTTTAAAACAAAGTAGACTTGATATAGTGTTTTTAGTCTACCTACAAACTACAGTTTACTCCATATATATCCTGTGTCAAGGCTAGCTACCAGAAGTGCTCTCGCTAGTGCTGCTCATCCACCATGAGTGTTAGCCGCACTAACAAGAGAAGGAAGAAAGACCGTCCAAATACCCGCTCCCGAAGTCAACCATTTTCTGCCTCGGAGCAATACAACATATTAGCCCCTGCCCGTGCCACCATTAGTACTAACGAAGAATTGGATTCTTCTTTATCCTCGATTTCTACCGTCACTGCTGCCTCACAGATATCACCTAAGTCCAGCACATCTCGCCACTCCCCAGCCCCTGAAACTCAGGAGAGCAATGTTCCTACACAAGCCACGTCGCACCTACCTGCCATCATCATCAAAGGAACCTCGCAGCCCTCAGACAACCTCAAGTTGCTGCTGAACTTCGCCGTATCATCCCGAACATTGGTTTCAACAATGTCTGCCAACTTCTCCGAGGAGGCATAGTCGTCAAGTGCATGTATCCCAAGGACTATTTCACTCTCATGAAACCATGGCCCACGGATGCGTTCAACGGTTGGCCCATTAAGCCCCATGTTCCGACTGACAACGAGCTCAGGAAGACCATAATCATCCGAGGAATTCCGCTCGGTACTACAGACCAGGAGATTGATGAGGAACTCCACTACAGAGAAGTGAAGTTTCTTAACTTCTCCCGCATCAGATCTTCCAAAACTCATGAACTAACACCACTTATCCGAATAACGTTATCGGATACCAATCAAGCTTTTCAACTCCTCCAAGACGACATCACACTTTGGTTCAGGAAACTTAAAGTAGAAGAGCCAAACTTCTTGAGTCCCCCAGTCCTCCAGTGTTTCAATTGCCAAAGATTTGGCCACACCAGAACTGCCTGCACCACCAAACCCCGATGTGTTAGATGTGCTGGCGAACATCAAGTCATTGAATGCCAAAAGAATAGAGCCAAAATCAAATGTAGCAACTGTAGTGTACAACATGTGGCCTGATACTGTGGATGCCCTAAGTTCCAGTTCGTCACGGGTATCAGGGCTAAGCTGTTTTCACGTACATTCGGTCCTCCCGCACCTTTCACGAGCCAATATTTCCCACCCCTACCTCAATAGGCCAAATTCAGCAACAGTGTCCCTGACCAGCCTAGACCCCAGCCTCCCCTCACCTTCGCCTCAGTTACCAAGCACCCAGTTCAACCAACACAGCAACTAAATTCACCTTCAACTAACTGGCATGTTCTCCACCCAGCTGGCCTCATCGCCTTCATCGTTGACGTAATACTTGCAGCTGCCAACCCAAAAGACGACAAGGCTACATCCCTGAGCAACGTGTCCCACGCAGCCCGTCACCATCTCAAGGTTCGAGAAATTATTCCAGAATCAATCAATGAACAAATCTCAAGTGGGTGCCCTGATTATCGTTCATAGGTAAGTCACTAAATTATTTGACTTTATTGCATGTTAATATACAAGGCAGTCTCAACTATAAGAAATATGAACTACTAGATCTATGTAACGAAATAAATGCCTCAGTAATAACTATTAATGAAAGTTTACTAAATAGTAACTCAAATTTCCACCTTCCTAACTACAAAATCATTTCTAAACCTAAAGGTACACACACAAGAGGTATTGCATTATTACACAAAAATAATCTCGCCTTAACTCTCATCAACCACAACACTCCTACTTATCACGAACACATTCTTTGTAAAATCCGTCCCTACCTGAATTCACACTCCTAGCCATTTACATGTAACCCCATACAACTCCTGACATTACATTTCTAAATACAATCATGTCAAATTGGTGACCTCAATGCTTCGCACCCCTTACTTCGAGGATACACCACAAACACTTCTGGTAGGATTATCGCTAACTTTACAAGACTACATAACCAAACTGTTATTAATGACAACTCTCCTACCCACACACACCACAATGGAACACAAAGCATCATTGACCTCGCAATAGTCCCATCAGCAATAGTACACCGCACTAGTAATTTTAAAGTACACGAAAATATCGGAGGAGACCATAATCTTCTTTCCTTTAAAATCAGTAACCCGAACTGGACAATACCCAACAGTCAAGACCAACACCCTTTAAAGAACCCCAATTTTAAGAAAGTTAACTGGACCATGTTCAATCAATATTTAGACAACAACTTACCTGACCCCATTATCTATGCTAACTCCGAAGAGGATATCGAACATTATTACCAGAATATCTCACAAGCCATAAGCAAAACCATAGAAAAATTAGTTCCAAAAAACTACACTAAAACCATACCCAACCACTGGTCATTAACTCCTGAAATATATAAACTCATACTATACAGACACAAGCTCCGTAAAGAATTCATAAACACCAGAAATCCTGCTATAAAAAACCCAAATCAACTCAGTCAAAAACGAAATAGAAAAGCTAATTAAAATTCAGCAATGCGACAATTGGAACAACTTTTGCAACAAGCTCGATAACCTTAAACCAGACCCTTCTACCTTCTGGAAAACTTTTAAAGGAATATGCCGCAAAAATAATGATACTGGCAACATATGGTATGAAAACCTCACAGCCTCTACTGATAAACAAAAAACTGAACTATTTTCAAACTATTTCGAGAAAACATTTGTTACCCCACAGGATGCCAGATTCAGTATGAAACACCAGGACAAAATCAACTCCTTTACCAATGCTAACACCGCATTCACTAAATCTGCTAAATTCTTAGGAATAACCATAAACTCTAAATTAACTTGGCATACACATTTTAAGGAAATTTGCAAGAAAATGAAAACAAGAATAGCTTACCTCTACAAAATTAGTCACCACGCCCACGGATGCGGACCATAAATAATAATTTACATTTACAAAACAATTATCAAACCCTAATTAAACTATGGCACAATGTTTACATGTAATGTGAATAACAACCAACGGCTGATTTTACAAAAGCTACAAAACAAAATAATACGGCTCGCCTACCACCTCCCTCACTACACACCTGTGTGCTACATTGAAAAACACACTTCACTATACAAGACTGCATTTCTAAACTTGTCGTCAAATACTACAAAAAAGCCGCCCACCGAAATTCACTCACAGCCAAATTTCATAAAATTGCCGCCACCTACAAACCATGGAGTAAATATCTATCCTTATACAAAATGATACACGACACCACTAGCACACCACCATGATTCACAAAACTACTTATAGAATATTATATGTATAACCATTTCACTGTTCAGTATCTTTCCAGGTCTTCAACCCATCAATAGATCTTCACCCGGGCACTAGTCGGGTTTTTTTATTCCATCCTGACTAGTGAAAGTGGTTTTTCTCGGGGTACTCCTGTCCCCCCCCCCCCCCCATCAAATTCTTTGGCATTGGATCTATAGATCCCAGCCTTGGCACTTGGATCCACTGATCCCCAAGGGCCCTGTAAAGGCCCATTTGCTTCATTTTGTTTCGATAACTTGTCAAAAACAGCTGCCGACTTGTTCCTTCTTCAAGATCAACCGGCCTCTGCTATGCCTTGGACTTGCCTTCACTTCTGCCTACTTGCCTCATCCTCATACGTATATATAAGAGAATATATATATATATATATGTAATTTATTTTTTTACTTCTTTGCCCATACCACTCATTAATCTGCTAACCATTAATTGAAATTTAACCTTATGCCTTGAGCAGGGTGAAGGAGGATTGTTTAATCTTCGAGCACCCTTGATTAGTAATTATTTCTTAGGAGATAATTATTTTTAAATCAAAATAATTGCCAGAAAAGGTATTGTTACTGACAGAGAAAAAAACTTAAAGAGAAAAAATAAAAGAAGCTATATACATTAGAAACAAAACCAGAACTTTAGAACACATCATGGCTGTACATCACAGACTTAAGTATACTATAAGTAGACAATGTATAAGATCTACAGTAAACACCATTAGCAATTTGGAGAAACAAGAGCAGTAGGTGATCTATGACAAATGTGGATTATAACACTAACAATCTGTAGATATAAGATCTTAGTTGAATTTTTTTAAACTATCACATCTATGGGTAATATAGAGTAGATGTTGGACAAAGTGATATTTAACACAATCACATGCACAGAGAAAGATGGTAGTTATAAGCCAAATCTAACGGTACACAATCAACAAATATGGCACTCTAATGGTGATAAAGTTGAAAAAATGTCTGTTAGTAATACCTTTACAGATATACATACAGGATCAAGAAGTGTTATGTGTTACTAAAGCTGGTGTACAAAACCATGGGATATTATGTGTTTCTCAAGGTTGATAAAAGTTTACAAGAAAAAAGATGCTCAATAACATACACCTACTTTTCTTAATATTCTGATGAAATATAGCTGTTTGGAGTGTATCTAGAAATCCATTAATTGCTGCAGATTGCATACAGAAATTATTAAATGTTATCACTGGCTGGTGTAACAACTGGCAAATCCTTTTAAATCTGCTCAAAGCCCAGAGCTTTATTTACCAATGAAGTCTAAATAAATATTTTCAAAATTGGAAAAAAAGTCAAACTACAACTAGGCAACATAGGCATCAAAATAAGCTCTAGTGCCTAAGTTTCTTGGTGTAATATTCAGTGGAAGATTTACATGGTCAGAACACATGAGAAAAAAATTGGTGAGTAAATCAATAAGCTCATTAATCGTGCAATAAAGGTTGTATATCAGACACCCTTATAAAAATCTGTAAGACATACATCAGACCAACCACAGAATACATATGCCACATTACCTACATGTCCAATAATATTCTTAAGAAGCTACAGCTTGAGCAAAACAAAGTTTTAAGATTAGCCCTAAGGCTTCTGAAATACACCTGTCAGCTACCTACACAAAGCAAGCAATATTCCTCCTCTGAAAGGAAAAAAACAAGTTAGTACAAAAATACTAACACAAAGTAGAAACTCCCACCTCCACACTACATACAACCCCAAGCATGCCCTACAAGTTCAAGTTGTTATCTCTATACAACTTATACCTCAAAGAAACACAGACTATTAGAGAATAGTAGTGAGTAATTGGGGTTTCTTTTTAATCTGCTTAACCATTTAATAATCATGTCTTGCTTTTCCACCTGGGCACAGGACAAGTTCATTGTTGGTCAACTTTTTAATTTTTTGTATAATAGGGGTGAGGTTACTAGGATCCAACACAGGTATTTAGGATAGTTGAGTTTTATTTTTTTGCCTACCTCACAAGATTGCCATCTGTTTGGAATGGCTGGTCTCTGCTTATCAGTAGCCACCACCTTTCTCATCTCTTCTATGGTAGGGTCAGATGGCACCATGTCATAGTAGGGAAGTTGATAATCTTCATACATTCCTGCATAGACAGGATTGGTTTACCTTTATACTGATTAAAGAATTTTAAGTGTTGTTGTTAAATCTAGCTCACATGAAACACATCTCATGAAATCTTTCAAATTCAGGTATTTGGTGCAGTAGTAATTAACTCCATAAATATGTATATACAAAATTAAACAGCAGTTCTATATTGGTAGAGATCTAGAAAGTCAATTTTAACAAAACAGAAAAAAATAAATAGAAATATATGATCACAACACTAATATTCACGAGTATAAATTCTCCTATTAATGTTCATGGAGAAAAGTCTATGATTATTTTGAACTGTTAAGAGGATATGATGGCTTATTTAATCATAGTCTGGCACGAGATTTAAAACCAACTACTAGTTTCACCCCCTCTTAGCATCAAGATTATTTATTTACAAAGCTGGTATTCCTTTATTACTTATCTAGGTAAACTTATCTTGGAGATGAGTTTGGTCTTATTTTAGAAGTCAAAATATGATAGAGGCAAAAACTAAAATTAATGTATCACTGTTATATTTATAAGTAATCTAAGAAATTAATTAAAATATAAGAGAAAATAAAAATACAATAAAGCAATTATATATATTATATATTTGATTCATTTTGACCAATAACTTGTTTGTAAATGTAGGTAAAAAATGTATCTTTTTCATGAATTTGTGTGAAGTTTCAGTTATCAGAAAAGTAGATGTAGAATAATATTTACTTTCTTAATTATATTGGGTGATTTTTAAAGTTGTTATCTCTTTTTATTATAATATAAAATGTTTTTTTTACATGCCTGATAATTTAGAGGCTTAACTATACCATATATACTGATGATGAAGATTGATTGGCTTGGAGGTGTTACATCTTAGAAGTTAAAAACTGAAATGGACTAAAAAACAAAATTATCATGTCACTTCTACAGTGTAAACATACCACCAACAACATTGCAACGCCTAGCAAGTTCCCATAGTACTAATCCAAAGGCATAAATGTCAGCCCGTTTGAATGAATCGAAGTGGTTCAGGTTGATGGTTTCATCGAGCACTTCTGGGGCTAGGTAGCGCTTGGTACCTACTCGAGAGTTAGGTGGGATGTCAACTGAATTGGTAGATGAGTCAAATCGTACAGCAAGTCCCAGGTCAGCAATAGAGCATGTCCCATTATTCTTAACAAGGATGTTCTTGCTTTTTAAATCTCGGTGAGCAATAGCTGGCTTACCTGTTGTTAGACAGTAAAACAACATCTATTATAAAAGAAAGTTTTTGCTCCCTTTGATTACCTTACTTACGTAATACATATTACAATACCTTCCTATATCATTTAACATCATCATAATGTCTCACAATAAAATAACACTTCATTACATTGTGTAATGTCACTGCAACTACATTTAATACAAGAACACAAAAATTATCAAAATTACCCTAAATATAATAAAACTTTTCCATATTTAATATCAGAAGATCTATAATAATGCAAAAGTTTCTGATGATATTCTATACTATGAAAAATAGTATCTATGAAACCAATTTAAGCTTTTTTCTGATTTTGTTTAGACTAATTCAATATGCCACTGAACAACTCTCAATACAGTAAACTCTCACTTAATCTTCAAACTTATCTTGTATCTTAAGTATAATCCAGTTAACCGCTAAGTTTACTTTTTTGTTGGTAGAAAGAAATAAAAAGTATTAAGATCAGTAACTGGGATAAGTTACAAATATCACTACTGTATAATAAATAGTAAACTTGTTCAGAGAAATTGATACGAAGATCAGAAGAAAAAAAACAGTTGAAGAGAGCACAAACTAAATGTATGAACATGAGCACTGCCAAACGAGAAGTGATAGTTAGGCTGAATAGCTTAGAGGGAGTCATATGTGTGGAGGGTACATCTATTGGTGGGGGATTGTCGCATGATGGATAGGCTTGTGACATGTGAAAAAATTTTGCAAATAGAGGAACCGTACTGAACAAAAATAGTTATGTATATGAGTGGAAGTAAAGTACTCTGTCGGAAAATTTATATTGTATCTGTTATTCTCTCTACCCTAACACTAATTGTAGCTAAATCATCACTTTACAGTAATACAAAATTCAGAAATAAAATTAACAATATTTTTTTCTCTTCTACTCTGAATGAATTATTTGTCACTATATTTTCAATTTCATCTTCATAATTTTAACATTTTACTTTTTCACATATATTTCGTTTTAATATTATAGTTTTACTGCCTGGCTTGCGGGACGTTTGTTTGTTTTCATACATGTACACTCATCTATAGCTTTGGACTTGTGCATTCATAGTTACCTAACACTAACATTTTTAATACATAAATTACTGAAATATAATGTACAAGAGCAACTATAATTTAACTGGTTTTCTAACTAAGCTATTTAAGGTAAAGAAAATCATTAACTGTTATGAGCATCAACTCACCAATAACCACTGAAATAAATTCTCTACTGTCTGATGTCTATTGGTGCCAATTTCAAAAAGACTATTGAAGGCATGAAGTTTAAAATGAACTCTTGCTACTGGTTATAAAAATGTATGTCAAGCAGGAGCACATAGTTTTGAAAACTGCCTTGTGAAGTTAAGTAGAGATGGGCGGCAGGGCTTCTATCGTGGGTTGAGAAAATTTATTTACTTCTCATGACAGAGAGAAGTTAGCATGTTGAACCTGCACATTTGACCTTGGAAATGTTTATAGAGTGTATTGAGGATAAGTCAGACAGTGTAGTTGCTATAATATTGAAGTTATAAAAACTAAAAGAGCATCTCCGAATGCAGATGTTTCACATGACACACACAGAAATGAGGATTGAGAATTTTTTTAAATATTTTCTATTGAAATTAATAAAGTTAAACTTACATAATATAAAAATTTCAATAATAAATTACACTCTGATGTAAATTTTATTGGCATATATTGATAATAAACTTGTTTAATTAAATTATGAATACAAACATTATGACATGTGCAAAACAGCCAAGCCTGTATGCAAAGAATAAAACAGTTAGCTTCTATACCTTATTTAATGTCCCAAACACATTCCAGTTAAATTTTTTATCTACACTTCCCTAAATATCACTGTGTTTCTACATCTAATTGTTTTTTCAGAACCCTACTCTCCCAGTTATCTTCTTTACCTAGTTCCTTGTCCCAAACATCTTTCAGTTAGCATTTAAACCAGCATTATCATCATATACATCTGCTTATTTGCTTCTTAACTAGCTCTGCCTCCAATGTCCCTATTTCATGTAAAAGCTTACCTTGTGTTCCAAATATTTCCATATGAAGATGTGCTAGTCCATTAGTTATAGAATAAGCCATTTTGCACATTGTAGCAATATCAACAGTTGTTTTGTTTAGATAGTCAAACAAAGACCCATTCTCATGGTAGTCAGTAATTAGCCATAGTTGAGTCCAGGTCCCATTGTCTATATAATAAAAACAGAGAACAAGAATACTTTTCCAATGTATAACTAATGGGTTGAAACTAGATTTTCATAAGCTTTTTTACCAAATTATTTAATCAAACATGCATATTTACTTCAAACTCAAGCACCCTGAGGGCAATATCATCATTGAGTCGCTTTGACAAATAACTTACAAGTTTAATTTTAATGTCTTTACTACTTTAACTGAGCTCACAAAAATTGTTCAAAACTTTGAGTTACACACACACACACACACACAAGTACAGAGGGTTGAGTATGTTATATTAATAAAAATCACGAAGTTTCATGAGAACCATATCTAATATAGTCGCTGTTTAATGGCACATATCAAAACTACAGTTTGATATTGTTTGTAGTTTTATCAGTAGTGCGATGCCAAAGAAAACGTATTGCTTTTAAAAGGGGTATATGTAACAGTCATTTTTGATGCAAAATATTCTTATGCTCAGATCATAGAGATGTTTCAGATTGGATATTTAATAATTTCAAGATTAGGATATCCCTTGTTCTTAATGGCATTGGAAAACAGATGAAATGGATAAAACTGGAGTAAAAGAACCATCTGGAAAGAGACCTGCAACAAGTTGTATCTCAGCCAAAGTACTGAAAGTACAGCATAGGTGAGAATCCAAGAACACAAAGGTCAATGGCAAAACTTGTTCACATGTTCCAAGCAATAGTAGACAACATAAGAAAAAGAGTCTCCATCTGGAAAAGTGATGAAAGTCACATTTAAATAAGTTACTTCCATGATATATCAATTCATTCATCACAGTAATCAAGCAGATGGAGAATGAAATGGGTATTCATGCTATTCAATACAAACACATATATCAAGATGCCAGATGCAGTGCCTATGGATTTCTGTGTGGTTGGACTGTTGAAATGGGTGCTAGGAATGTGTCATCCTTGGAAAGGCAAAAGGGAGGAGTGGTGGGCTTTTGATATGACAGCTTCATAATGGTGACTATTATAATGGAAAATATGTTGCAGGGCTAGTGTCAAGAAGCACTGTCATTAGAACATGACTAAATGTGGCAACAAAGACTGTAATGATGTAGTGAAGTTCTAAAAATTGTGCTCAACCTCTGTACAGATACATATTATATATCTTTAACATTGTCTGTAACAATTAATGTCAGACATACTTTAAATGATACAATAATTACTTTTAAGTGATTACATAGTTTAATTACCTTTATTGTCGGCGGCAATAAAACCAAGGATGTTCTCATGACGAAGCATCACAGTCTGGTAAATCTCTACTTCTCTAAACCATGACTTCTCATCACGTGAGGAAAATATTTTAACAGCTACAGGTTCACCTCTCCATCTTCCTCTCCAAACTTCTCCATACCGTCCTTTCCCCACCACCTCCAGAAGTTGAATCTGGCGAGCAATACTTCGTTGAACAAGCAAAGGAAGCCCTGGCAAGATAAATGCTGTTTAATATTCTTTAAAAATTATTTTTTCAAATTACTCTACTGATAGTGCAGAGGTAGCCCAGTCAAATGTTAACATTTTTCCTATCTGGAAATGTATTTTTGATAGATACTTAGCTCTTCACACAATTAAGCTATCTTCTCTGTGTGTCTGCCTTAGAGATTTGCGTGCCACTAGTCTTTAGGCAAATCCCATCTAATCTCATGTGATTTCTTGTGAATTACGCTACTGCATAATGACATTATTATGCAGCAAAAGCCTTCCATGAATAAAAGGGAAACACACCTCATTGTGCACTAACTCCCTCTATAGTTTTGCACTCATGAAACTTCATTTTTTGATGAGGCAAGGAACACTAAGATGCATTATAAGTGGGGAGGAAGAGTGGGAATGTGTGTGAGGAGGCATATATCTGAAACACATTTTAAGGTAAGAAAAATCTTCACTTCAGAGATGATACACACTCTTCACACAATTAAGTTAAAATCCCATGTTCAAATGGTGGGGGAGGGGCTGCAAAGATTTATCTAGATGAGTTTCCTTCAGAAATTACTTAAAGGAAACCCATGGGATGTGACACCTGATGGCAGAGGCTCCATAAGGGCACACCCATGGGAGACCATATATCATCTCTTCCAGGGTATACTCTTCACCCAGGAAAAAGGGAAAAACAAAAGAGGCAAATGAGCCTCATGTGTCACATGGATGGGCAGAATAAGGACATGACCATCTGAGTACTTGCACACAAGAGGTCAGAGAGTCAATATGGTGCACATTCAGACCATACCTTGTGCTCACCTCAACTTTACTGTCAGACTATCAGACTGACACCTGCTGAAGGAGGAGGGTACGGAATTTATGCCAGAGATGTATAATGGTATGTATACATGCTTTGACTTGACTGAATAGACATCAGCTGCAGGAGGAGGGCATAATATAGTGTTGTATGCTGGTCCCCTTGACTCTACTGGACAGTCGCAGGCTGCAGGGCACAGATCTTGTTATGTGCTCACCTCAACTCTACTGGACAGTCACAAGCTGCAAGAAGAGAGCACACTCTTCTGAATGCATGCAGACTGCAGGAGGAAGACACAGTATTGTATGATGTGCTCGCCTCAACTCTATACAAGTGGTATAAATATAGTTATATGAGGGATGACCTGTGTTACACAGACAGTGTCACCACTGCCCCACTTCCCACTGATTGGTACTCCTTGTTGTAGCCCCAGTAATTAGGTCCTAGTCAGTGAGGATTCTCCATGGTCCACCACCCCAGCAACTAGGAACTTGGAAGTGGCTAGAGTCTCCCATGTTCCACACAAAGTAAAAACAACAACAAAAAAACGGGAAGTAACTTTTAGTGGGGAGGCCCAGAAAAAATTCCCAGATCCCCATCAGGGAGAGAGAGATAGTTGGCAGGAGAAGAAGAGGTTGTGTTGTTAGGTGGCATAGAAGAGGAAATCAAGGTTGTGCCACTCTAAGGACATGGCAAGGAGTGTCTCTAATCAAGGCCAGTACCTGAGGTAAAAGACAGAGAGGTGGATAAGCATGATAAGAAGAATAAGACCAGTCTTGGCTGAAGGCATTGATTGCCAGGGCCATGGGATGGGGAACAGATGATCAGAAGAGACAAAGCTTGGAAATGAGAGGGCACCAATGAGTAGTGGAGTCTCTAAAAGAGAGCACCCACAAGAGAACATCTGGAGGTGAAGAATCCATTTAATGGGCAGAACACAGTCTGGTCAATAGAGGCAGTCCACAACTAGGTTCATAGCACCTGGTACAGGGCAGGCGATGAGATGAACTCATTGAGAATTGGCCCAATAAGCAAGGTCCAGGGTTTGAAAGTAAGAGGTCCTGGATCGATTTCCCTATGCCAGTTGATACAAACAAAACAACAAAAAATGAGTTGTCATTAGAACGAATCATAAATGATTCATTAGAAGGGGTAAGTATGGGAGCATGCCTGACATACTATTGGAAGTTTGAGTGCATTATATGTAGAGAGGACTCTCCATGTGCCAGATGTGAAATTGTCATTCAGAAATGTTCTCCAACCAAAAGGGGGAAGCATTGGTGAAGAGGTGCAGGTACAGTTTGGGCAGAGGTAATGGAACACCAATGGTGAGATTAGATTGGTTGAGTCACCAATACAAATTATTGAGTAGGAGTGGGAACAGGTGAACCACTGAGGTTAAAATTTCCCATAAGACATTCCTCTGGTTGCACAAGGACCAACGGAGGAGATGCATATGTGTGTAACCCAAAGGGATAAGCAGTTTCAGTAAAGCCATGGCCTCCAAATACTAAAAAACCTCTCACGCAGTATGAGTAGGAAAGGCACAAATCCTGGTGACTAGCAGTTTCATAGTTCACAGGCAGATGGGAAAAGGCTAGGCACAACTGAGAAATGAGTTGAAAAACACTATCATGTGAATAAGATACTGAGTGGTAGTGAGAAAAAAAATTGGAAGTGTTGATGAACACCATCTCCTCAAAATATTGTCCATAAATGGAATCAGGAGGAGGAAACATAATGAGGGATAAGAGAAGAAGGTGAGGAGAACTAGAGAGAAAGTCCGTGGGTTGAAAATAGAGTAACCCCGTGTGGATGGAAAAGTGTGACAGTTCAAAACACGAAATCTGAGCATCAACAGGACCCAAATTGACTTAATCATCACTGACGAGCTTGATGAGTATGATGCTGGGAAGAAGAGGAAAGCTGGAAAATGAGAACTGAAAGACATAAAATTGGGGACTAAATCAAGATACAAAAGTGGAGGGTTGGGTTTGGGACAGTGTTAGAAGCAAAGGATGAAAACAAGGACTGACAATAGGCAGCCCCAGCCCATGATTCAATCAAATCAGGAATACCTCCAAAACTTTAAGGCAAAGAAAGAAAGAAGGGCAGGTAAAGGTCTTGTAGAAGGGAAGAAAGAAGTCAAACTTGGGATAGGAGGGGTATCCCTACCCAACAATAAAGAGCCTAGTGAGCAGGGAAATGGTAGAAGTGGAATGGGCCAAAATGGAGAGGTGAAGAGAATAAGATATGCCCATAACATTCTCTGGAGCATGGTGGAGTGCCTCAGACTTGAGATGTAAAGAGGAGAGGTAAAGAAGTATATTAAAAAGGATCACACACACACACACAAAAGGGCAAGGAAAATCACAAATGTGGGAATCACAAAATCAGAATGACTAAAATCAAGGAAACGAGAATCAGATTAATGGAGAGGGCAAGGCTTGAGGTCACAGGAATGTAACTGGTCAAGGAGAAGGTAAACAAAATTAGTTAGAGTTAGGATTAAGAAGTAATGAACAAGAAGAATATGACATAGAGGAAAGAGAAACAATTGTGTATACCTGTAAAATTAAGTTCTGATAATGCGAGAATGTTTAATGTTTCTCTTCAACAGGAAGAAAATTTTCCAAAGCATAACCAAGTGAAGGAAACAGTGAAATTTGTCCTCCTCATTCTACCCACAAAACAACGGGAAGGAACATTCGAAGATGGACTGGAACTGAATTTGTGGCTGTATAAGGGAACCCACTACCCTAAGCACAATGGCATCACGTCATCCCCAATGAATGTATGTTCATAAGCCATAATTGTTACATAACTTGTGTGAAGAAATTATTCACTCATACAAGTAGTAGAAGTTTGTACATGAAGTAGTGTGTCCATAGTTTGTAGAAAGAGGTAAATGAAGTTCCTTAAATATTGCAAATCTAGTTAAATTGAAAAAGAAAAACACGTCTGATGCGTACAGTGCTGAGGAAGAGAATGATGATTCACAAGTGCAAAAGCATAGAGTTAGTGTGTAAGGAAATGTGTTGCCCTCCTATTGGTGGAAGGCTTTTACTGCACAATAACATCATTATACAGTAGTGCAATTTACGAGAAATCTTGTGAGATTAGGTGGAAGTTGCCTGAAGGCTAGTGGCATGCAAATCTTTAATGCAGATGCATGGGGAAGATAGATTAATTGTATGAAAAGGTGTGTATCATCTTGGAATTTAATTACTTCATGCACGTCATAACACTGCAGTAGCAGATGTTTACAACTTTCTGCCAAAACCACAAAGTTTGATTAAAGATAAAACACTCCCAATTAAACAATAAAAATTTCCAATATACTTTTCAAAATAATCACATCAATTGTGCTGTTTTAACTACAAGTATCTCAATTCAAAAGATTGTAATTTGTATCAGTTCTAGTTTTCTCAATTCTATTGTTGTTACTTATATTCTTGTCAATTCCTGTAATAATGCTAATATTATCCACCGTTTTTATAACATTACACATATGAACTAGTTCTGTAGCATTATCAAGTCCATTCTAGTTTTCAATAGCTATACTTTTGTAACTATCTCAGTTTTCTATGTTCAACTTTAGAGCATGTGTAAACTATTTCTACAGTATCATCCATATCAACTGTAAACCTTGTAGTAAAATTCATGTCAAAAAGGTTCTTGAACAATATTTATATCAGTTTACCACAGCAGAACATACATGACTACTTTCTATTCAGCTTCATTCATGTTAACACTACTTCTCTAACACTTTATGCTAAATTTATTTCTATAACTATCTTCCTGTCAACTCTACTTTAATTATTATCTTGATGTCAACCCTACTTGTGTAACAGTGATATAAGCTCTACTTCTGTATCAATAATCATTTCTTATTTTCCATCTGTAATAACCTAACTTTGTAACTATCATCTTGCATTCTACATGACAACTCTACTTCTGTGATTATTCTAATATAAACTTTCTTCTGTAAATATATTCATCAACTTTATTTCTGTAACTACCTTCAGGTCAACACTACTTTTGTAACTATCTTCACGTCAGTTCTTCTTTTGTAACTATTTTCATGTCAGCTCTTCTTCTGTATCTATCTTCATGCTACCTCTTCTGTTGTAACTATCTTCATGTCAAATTTTCTTCTCTAACTATTTTTATTCCAACTCTATTTTTGTAGTTACCTGTGTGTTAACTCTGTTTCTGTAACTATCTTCATGTTAACTCTGCTTCTGTATCCATAATCATTTCAGCTCTTCTTCTGTAGCTATCTTCGTTTCAAATTTACTTTTGTAACTACTTTCAATTATAAATGTTGCAATGTGTTGCCTTCACATTTAACAGCAATTAAATCTAGATTCAGGTAATTCTTGGATCTGTTATTAGCTGTGAAAGTATCTCATAAATGGCTTCACATTTAGACGGTTAAGTAATATTCAGGTGAAAACTTAAAGTTAATAATCTTCTATGTATCACATACTCAGACTTCATAGTTAAAAAATGTTATTAATGTAGTAGTGATATAAGAGTTGGAGTTAGTAGACAATTACATTTATAACAGTCATTTTGAGATAATTGCCAAGAATAACTAATATCCTTCTAATTGTTATGCAAGTCACCTTTACATAGTAAAATCATATTCATGTGTGTGTGTGTGCTTAGGTTTGTTTTTTTCTCCAGGATTAAATATATGAAATCTCTTAAAGTCAATATAATTAAAACAGTTATGTTAATATAATCAATTAAGGTTTACATTTAGTCATCTGTTTTCCAACTCTTTGTTTATTATCGTATGTAATACATACCTGATCCTGACCCTGAGGTTGTCATTTCAATCAAGTCCTTAATGGCAGCTCCTAACATGGGTTCCTGAGCTTCCATGTTCAACTCCAGTTGTTGTCGGTACAGATGAAGCCGCTGTCGCTGTTGCCATGTCCAGATGATAATTAGCACCACGATACAGACCAAACATATTGGACAAGCTATGACCAGAGCAATCTCTAATGTGCCCAAATGCCTGCTTTGTGCTTTCTCAGGTTTTACTGCAGGGGAAGAGGACAAAGTAATACTCACCTCTCTTCACACTCTCAAATATAAACATTGCTGTTTTTACCTGTTGACTGAAGCCACACCAAACCACCAATTCCACAAACACAGTTATCTGATATGCTTAAGAATGTCTAGTACACATATAAATTTCAAACACAAATTAAAAGCATAACTAGATTATCTATTTGTTTAATGTCATACCTTCTGCATGTGTTGGTCATAAATATTTCTCTCATATTTAATAATTTGTACATTCAAAACTGTCCACAATTCTTTGTCCATTTTTATTGAGAACTGTCAAGAGAATAACTTTTTTGGAATTGTTCAGTAGTGAACAAGTTACTGTTGTATTAGTTGGAGAACTAGGATATTAAGTGAAAAATTCAAAAGTTAACATTTTCTTACATCAAAAATGTATTTCCAATAATACTTACCTCCTCTCACACTTACAGCTATTACTTAAATGCCAGGGTTTCCTTCTCTACACCCATCAGGTATCTGTCAGATTTTTTCTTGTTTGCTCCAATCTTTTATACCCCACTTAATTGCCCTTGGTGATGTTTGTCTTGTGACACTCTCCACCTATGTCAATGCACCCTCTATCCTGGTACTGTATATAAGCACCTCACATGTTGTGTTTTCTTGCTGTAGTTTCTCCCCATGATTACTGTTTAGTGTTTTATTTGTTTAATTATCGTTATATTTAGCAACTGTACTTTGACAATGTATAAAGACTTATGTAAATTCATTTTATTATGCTTTAGATACTGAAGATGGAATCTGATAGAATTCCAAAACATTTATCCATGTCCCCTTTTTGTCAATAAACAATTTGTATATCATAGGTAGGCTTTTTACCAGGAACTTAATTCATGTACTGTGGGTGGAATTTTACATGACTTGCCTTCACTACTGGCCAGGTCTCAACCAGATAGCTGAGGTTCCACTATTCAGAGTTGGAATTATAAGGCCATGATCCCTATATCCAATGTTGGTGGCTAGGGCAATCATACCACAATATATATATATACACACACACACTTATGAGTGGAACCCAACTTGTAGCCATAGAGTGATGAATACAAGCCACAAGAATCATGACAGGCTCAGAATGACTGAATCGTGTATGCCTTACTCAACCTGAGAAAACAGAATTCTTCCAATCTGGAATTATGAACACTTCTCCTCACTCCCCAACCATGTGAGAAAGGTTACCCCAGAATTATGGGGAGGACATGGAACAAACTGTGCTCAACCAAGGACCCAGGATGGAACCACTCTGCATTACAAGGACACAATAGACCCTCTTCCATGAACAATGTACTGAACCAATATTGATGAAAAAGAAGGGCCACACTCAACCCAACCAGATAGCTAAGCATCAAATCTGAACCAATATTACGAGGAGGCTCTCCTGCTGACAACTAGGAAAAAAAACATCCAGGGACATGGGTAGGAGGCCTCCAACTTCCCCCTCTTCTCCAAAAGTGGAGGAATTCACTCTAACACTCTGGAGGAAAAGCCTCTGTTCATCACCCCAGTGACTGGAAACCAGGTGTAGTAAGGACTCCCTAGCTCCACTAGTAGAACCTTAGAGAGTAATGCACATTGGGGAGTCCTGAGGAACAGTGCAATAGGTGAACCAAGTTCCTTAATTTTTAAAAGCAAACCAACCCCGATATATTCAATCCAATGATCAGCTGCGATGGGTAGGATCCCCTTATACCTTACTCATGATAGTCCATGAGTGGCAGTCCAGCATAGTGCTGTAATACCACCTGATCAGCCTCTAGGTGGTCTTATGCAACACTTCATTTCTACAGAGCCTGTTGCAACCTAGATAAAGTATATTGAATTAGTGGTTGCTAATGCAGAATTGGTTCAATAAAAGAATCCCTGCCTGGGCAACACTTGTTACTGAATGGGATCTTGTGAAAATGAAATAAGGGACCCTGAAAGGTAGCAATGAAAATACTCACCCCTCTGTATAATCTAGTGGAAGTGGTTAAGAGATCTACAGGGGGTAGGCAAAAATCATCAGATGAAGATACTGCCAGATCATGCAAATAATGCGAGATAAAAGTATTGGGGGAAATCCATACACCAGTCCACACAATGTCCTCCTGCAGGTAATTCAAATGGGCAGCTAAGAATATAGAAATGTGACAAATCTGATTAGACATGACTCCAGAAGATTCCTCGCCTTCAAAGGGAGCCCAGAACAAAAAGTCATTGTCTAGCATCTCTAAAGCATTAGTGCAGGCAACAAAACCTTGAAGACCTTCACTGAAGATCATAATGATTGAAATCTGATCAGTCATAGAAGTGAGAAATAGTGATCAGATGAATTGGTGAAAAGGATCTATCCCCTTCCCTGTCTGACGGTGTCTTCAGTAAGAACAGACCTGAAGATGTAGGTAGGATGATAAAGTGGTCTGAATAAAAACAGTGCAAACCACTCTGACCAGTGATGTCTGTAGGTCAGCAGCAACTAAAGATAAACTTTCAAGTAAAGGTGATACATAGCATATGAGAATTAGGCCACAAAAGGGTGTTGAGAAAGGACATGTAATGTAAACTTAATATACCAGTTAGGGAACTGGAATGATCGTTTGGGACAAAGGACCCCAAAATGACTTGAGTAATTGATAAGATCGCCTTATACAGGGTGATTGTGGAAGATGCAAACACCCTTGCCAAAGAGCCAGGTCAAAACCGAGTTATGGTTGGCACTTCTGATCGAAGTGGGTTCAACTTCCTTTCAATACACCATTGCCAATATGTGTGTTATTTCCGTCGATGAAGATGCAAACACCCTTGCCAACGAGCCAGGTCAAAAACCAAGTTATGGTTGGCACTTCTGATCGAAGTGGGTTCAACTTCCTTTCAATACACCATTGCCAATATGTGTGTTATTTCCGTCGATGAAGATGCAAACACCCTTGTCAAAGAGCCAGGTCAAAAACCGAGTTATGGTTGGCACTTCTGATCGAAGTGGGTTCAACTTCCTTTCAATACACCATTGCCAAAATGTGTGTTATTTCCTTCGATAAATGTCCATCGTGGGACTAAGCAAAGACAGAGACAACTACATGGCAACCTTAGAAATTAATTCCTGATGCCATGCGAAAGACTGAACAACCTCTATGCCTGAAGCTTGAGCTTCTGGATAACCAGGTGTACCATGTCATATCATAGCTGCCTCAACAGAAATGGCCTAAGAAGAATGGAGATTCCTGAAGTTACCACAGAAGTAGAAACCAAAGTGTAGCTGCCAATCTGGTGCTATCAACAGGACCCAACAACTGGTTGGAACAAATCATAGCTAGCACCTTGGGTAACATATGAATTGGAGGGAAGGCCTAGAGTTGTATTCTCAAATGGTCCTGACAGAATGTATCCACTGCTAAAGCCCAAAGGTGGGGTACTGGAAACCACACTGCCAGTAGTTGGGTGTTCCAATGAGAGGCCAACCCACCAATCAGAGTTGCAAAATGAGAGCCAATCCAACAGAGCTTTATGATGCAGCATGTATTCTGTTGTGAGAATCCATTTGGATTGAGACATTTGTTCTGCTACTGCAATCATCACCCGTGGAACATGGCAAGCTAGTAGGGTGATATGATAGGAGTGGTCTTGAGAAAGGAGGTCCAAGATTTAAAAAAGGAGCCCTGAATCAAGTGCCTCCTCAATGAGAAACACAAGACACCACCATGGAATTGTCAGAGTGAAGCCTTATGATTTTCTCCTTAATAACACCAGACCATGAGGCATTGCCTTTTGAAGACCATTAAAATGATATATTGTGCTCTCATCCCAAAGACATGAGGGATTTGAGCAATACCCACATTCCCAGAAGAGAAATAACTATCCATGCAGTGGGAGAAGGAGAGCTGAGTAAAGGGTCGGACTTCCTGTTCCGTAGCGTGGAGCCAGATGGGAGTGAGCTAAACCTGATTGAGAGACATGATGAAAAAAAATACAAATTGGAGCAAGAACAGATCTCTCAGCTCTGAAAATGAAGCCTGCCTTGGTTGTTTTTGAAAGTAGAATCAGGGCGTGATGTTCTGGCAATTGACGAGATGGTGCCAGCTCGTCTATGGAATGGTGTGTGTATAGTGCTGTGGAATTGAGGTGAAGAGAAAAAACTCGTACAATTTGGAAAAACCCATGAGAAGCTGATGTTAGTCTGAAGGTAACAACCCTGAACTGCAGTTCCTGGTGGGACGCCACCACTATGACAATGTGCAGGTAGTAGCCGACTACAACGAACTTGAACCTCTGCAATCCCAGTAAAACATGTCAGCTGAGATTGAGGAATGAGTAGCTCATGAACCTAAGAGAATCTAGGCATTGATATAGACAAAAAAAGATCAATGATTGGACACCAATTTCCTTTTTAGGCCCCAAAACTGAAGGGAATAAAGCCCCAGAAGAACTAGCATGATTCTCTCACTACTCCTACATCCACCAAACTCTGATAGCCCTAGAACTAAGTTCCAGATCCCAAGGATCTGCGGAAGATGGAAACCCTACATGTTGGATGGATAATAGTAGTGAAAATGTGAACTGAATGACTAATCCTGACTCAAGGACCTGTAGTGCTCCTGGATCTGTGGTTAAGGTTACCACAAATTCAGAAATTTTTGGAGCTGAGCCCCAACAGATCCTGAAGGCATGCAATAATCACCAATATCATTGGTGGTGATCCAATCAAGTAGCAGAACCCTTGGATACAGACAGACTATTCTGGTTACCAATATACTGCGGGGCTGATGCCGGGAGTCAGGACCCTCAAATAGGTGCAGAACTATGACCCCCTGTAGGAGCTGATGAAATATGAGATGCTAATGACAACAGGGATGAATGTAGGAGCCGAAAATTAAACCAATGTGCATGCTAAGAATGGTTCCAGCTCATCATCAATGAAAATGGTGATCCTGAGAGTCTTCCAACAAAGTGTAGTGTAAGGAAAGAAAAACATTGTATTTTA